GTAGTCGCCGAAAAGTTAGACCGCTTAGAAACTCCTCAGCTGTCCGTTTTGTTTTGTTTTTGCATTGTTTTATTCGCAAAATGTATTTGTTCGATGTCCGATATCAATGAAAACGTTGTGATAATTTGTTATCCTCATGATTATTAATTGTTATGGTATAGAAAATGTTTAGTCTAGTGCTATTTATCCAATGAAAAGATAAAGGAACGCCTATGAATACATGCATTTGGTATAAACACAGTCCACGTCCGTAAATTACCTTAGATCGTCTTCGTCAATTTCAGGAACAGCGTGTTAACGTTTGCCGAGCGCGTAAAGCGCCTCGCAATTCGATTTCCCTTCCACTATTCAAATGCAACAGCTCCCATTAGCTCTAGAATCTGACACGGTGCAAACCGACAACGGAAACACCGCAACGAGCTCAATTCACTTAACAAGGTGAGATCTGTGTGCCTAGTGCGAGTTTTTTAACGTTCTCGATAGCGTAAAAGTTAACTTTTTTATTGCTTAGATGGGAGGACGAGCTCACAGCCCACCTGGTGTTAAGCGCTTACTGGAGCCCATAGACATCTACAACGTAAATTTGCCATTCATCTTGAGATCTAAGTTCTAAGGTCTCAGTATAGTTACAACGGCTGCCCCACCCTTCAAGCCGAAACGCATTACTGCTTAACGGCAGAAATAGGCGGGGTGGCGGTACCTACCCGTGCGGACTCATAATACGTCCTACCACCAGTGAGAACTCAACTCAAATTTGTATGGAGTTGGAATAGCGCCCCTAGCGGCACACGTGGGCAAAGGTTCCAACTCCATACAAAGTTTAAGTTAACTTTTACGCTATCGGGAACGTTAAAAAACTCGCACTAAGCAAACTGTTAATCAATTACCCAAGCGACCTGTTTTTTGACAAGTCGGCTTAGCCTGGACGCAGACATGACCGAAGAGAATTAGGAATCACAAATTAACTTTAGAATAATACGCGACGACTATAAAAATAATAAGCTTACATTTTCCGAGGAATTATTAAGAATTTTAATTGGAATTTTTGAAGTATTGATTCAATGCTTTCGTTGGATGTCTGTCTACGGAATTTTCTAAGCACCGTTTTATGTAATAGAAAAATAAATATCTGAACTATACTATTCTACAACCCTGCGTTTAAATTGAATACGTTTTGTTCTGAGGCAAGTTCCAATCGCGTCGTGAAACAATAAGACTGAGCTGAATGAACTGTGCTTATCTTTGTTATCAAACGCGCTAAATTCTTATCGGTATTTCAATTCATTTTCAGTCATAAACGATGTCATAAATTATTTACAAATACAGCGTTATGTTAATGATTTGTTACTTTTAATTTATTATTTGAAAGTTATTAAATATTAAACTTCTGTCGGACGTCCCTGATAGATGTAATTGAGACACCAAAACATATTTTCTGCTTTATCAAAACTGTGTACTTACTGTACTTGAATTGTTTTTATTGTCCTTGTAGCTACAAGGAATATAACGAGCATACGGCCCAGCTGATGGTGAGTGGTTACCATCGTCTATGGACGTCAGCAATGCCAGAAGCACAGCTAAAGCGCTACCAAAATATCCGTCGTTTAAAGAAAATTTGCTAGTTAAATTAGATGGAGGATTAGAGAAATAGGTAGGTAAATAGGTATATAGGTAAATAGGTAGGAAATAGGTAGGTTGTACCTACCCGCGCGGACACACAAGAGGTCCTACCACCAGTAAACCTCCTTCAGTCCTCAACCGTTTAGCTCTTTTAATAGAGCGGTCGTGATCGTCTTGTCGTGTTAATTTTGTGACTAGCGAAAATCGTAGACAATTCTAATTCAAAACATGTTTGTTTTCAATAGTACTTGTTAGCGTGTTAGCACACATCCTTCGCGGCTGTCACGATACAAGTCCCGTGCATACGTCAGCTCTAATGTGCCGTGAACGAATCTTGTCGCTTCGGTCTCGATGTGTCGCGAATTAAGTCAGCACGTCGCGTCGCGTTATTATAAATCAATTAAGTTCACGGAAATCTTATTAATATTACAACTTATTAATGTTCTAGTTGAAATGCTAACGTAATAATTTAATTAAGGATTATATCGTTAGGCACTATAAATGGTATCTACAAATTTGGATGAATTTTTTGGAACGAAATTCCTTATGGGACGATACGGAGAGGTACCCTAACCGGGAAAAAACGTCCGTAACGTAAGATTATCATTAGTAATGCACACAGTGTACGACTTAACTTTGTAATAACGTACAAAAATAACATATTTTATTATATATTTTTAATAAATCACTGTGAATAAAATAAAGTTGATAACTTTGTAAAGTAGTTTTTATTTTAATTTTAATCAATAACAAAATCATAATAAAAAATGTATACCCGAATAATTATTTTCTTTATACCTCGAATAGAACTTAAAATTAATATTTTTATAATAAGGAACTTCGTTCCTATCCGGTGTCCCACGACACCACACTTTTTTTAAGTCGGCACGTCGCATCGCGTTAATCAATGAAGTTCACAGAAATCTTATTAATATTATAACTTATTAATGTTCTAGTTGAAATGTTTACGTAATAATTTAATTAAGGATTATTTCATTAGGCACTATAAATGGTATCTACAAATTTGATCGATTTTTTTTGACAACAAATACTAAATTTAGTCTCATTATCGAAATTAGCCTGATGTTGATAAAAAAGAAATAGTCTCAAGACCAAAGATAAATACATAGTTTATACAACTAATAATCCTTTCTCCTGTTACAGGAGGTAAAAGGACTAAGACTAAGAGACTGTCAGTCAAAAGACTAAGACTAAAAGACAGTTAGGCAAAAGGCAAAGAACTAAGAGGAAATATGAAAGATGAATTTTAAAAACGTAGTTTATTTTGTATTTCCTTTGGGTTTTCACAGCTTGTGTCTTGTGCGTCTTACAATTTATAAAAGCAAGATTGTCTTTGATTATATATGCAAAACGCTTGAAGCCCGTCTTTGTTGTATACCGGGTAATAAGTTTATATAAGTAATAGCTTTTTATTTTTGTGTTTTATTATAATATCTAAAACGAACGAAATGCATATCGATGGCTGAAATGCTATTGGATTTAAGAGACATTTTTGCAACTTCACAGGAGAGCCATTTAAAGTTTAAAATTTGGAGAAAATATCATAAATAACAATGAAAAGGCATTTCTGACATCCATGAGCGACGGTAACCACTTACCATCAGGTGGGCCTTATGCTCGTCGGCCTGCTCGGACAATAAAAAAAAGCTTCATTGAAGTTCATGAAGTTCAATTAAAAACATCGAACTGTAGTTACTAATCACTACATAGTATAAAACAAAGTCGCTTTCTCTGTCCCTATGTGTGCTTAAATCTTTAAAACTACGCAACGGATTTTGATACGTTTTTTTTAATAGATAGAGTGATTGAAGAGGAAGGTTCATATGTATAATAACATCCATCAAATTGTGGAGAAATCAATAATAAATTACAGTTTTCGAAACGAAGCGAGGGCGTGTCGCTAGTACCTAATAAAACGTACCTTTAATTACAAAGATAAATGTCGCGTATTTAGCGAAAGCTCGCTTAAGCCAAATATCGTTAATACATTCCTATTAAAATTTAGTTCGAATTAGATAACCGCCGAATGGGATAATCATAATGGATTTCATGCAGGCGCGAAATATTTGCATAATGATGCGACTGGATAGAATGGTGTTTGGGAATTTGGGTTTCCAGAGACTACTCTGATACTAACCAAAATCTTTTTTTTATTGCTTACGTGGGTGGATGAGGTCACAGCCCACCTGGTGTCAAGTGGTTATTGGAGCCCATAGACATCTACAACGTAAATGCGCCACCCACCTTGAGGTATAAGCTCTAAGATCTCAAGTATAGTTACAACGGCTGCCCCGCACTTCGAACCGAAACGCATTACTGCTTCACAGTAGAAATCCTTTGTACTATACAGTCGAGAGGTAGACCACATGTCTCAAGGTGGATCACGGCATTCATATTGCAATGTCTATAGACTCAAGTAACTACTCGACACCATGTTAGCCGATGGTTCACTCGTTTGTGATAACGTACCTGCATATAAATGTTTAATATGAGTTAAAACTAATTTTGAACATTTATAGAGAGTTCGTAGTTCAGACCTATCCATGTTTCAACAAAAATACAGTCGGAGTCGGGTAGAGCATAATTAATAACTATGTGATCATTATGTTTAAGAAAAATATAAAGCTTATTTTGCTTGTTTGAAATGGGTAAACTAAATTACGCCCACCTAAAGCTAATTAATGACTAGGAAGCATAGTGCCCGATATCATTGCTAACACTTTGACACATAAGTTAAGTCATCGCTGTCAACTTTTTTTCCCTACCTTTGCTGATAGCTTTGAGAGGCTATTTCAGCTTCGCCCTAACATGTAGGTGAGCTCATGGGGCTCAAACCGAAGTGTTGCTAACACTGGCCTTAGTGGGATTGTCAACATTAGACGGTAGAGAGTATTGCAAGCCCGCATAGCTAGGTGCCACCATTCGATCCATTTCTACTTTGTTCTACCTTTCTATACATCACTAGCTTCGAGGAGCCATTCTGACTTTACCTTGGTGGATGGGTGAGCTTACGGGGCTCAGCCTGGGTGTATTGTTGCCCTAGCAAATGCAGCGCTATCAAATCAGAATCGCAGCCTATAAAACTGTTTCTGTCGTGAAGTAGTCAATGTTTCGCCTTCAACGCTTAGACAGTAGTTATTAAAGAAAATGGGACTTCGACACCACCATGTCTCATGTTGAGAAGCTGTGCGGAGTGTGATAGCATTTAATAATGAACCAGCAAACAAAATTTTCGATGTAAATTATTGACACAAAAATACACTTCAATACATTCGTGTTTCGAACGATCATAAAAATAAATAAAACAGAATTTGTATTCGTAAAACCGAAATCTCATAACGTAACATTTTTTCTTTCAGGTAACCGACGCTGGGTTTCCGCCCGCTGATTAGATAAGAACAGAACCGACGGGGACGCTAATAAAATCCTCTGAAAGATAAAACTCTTATATCTCAGAGCGATGCCTTATGAACATTACTCAATATGTGTTTGTTGGAAAGCGAATTAAAGACATTCACAAATGTTAGTTAATAGTTAAAGCTGAGTGGATATGATAAATTAGTGTAGTGAAAATGGGTTGTCAGCTCGGTAAATTGGCAGCGTCTGAGCGTCGTGGGAACAACGCCGGACCTGTCACCGATGGTCCCCCACCAGCCACGGATCCTCGGCTGCCTCTCACGGCAAAACAGAAGTACTCAATGCTGGCCTCGTGGAAAGGAATCTCCAGAGCAATGGAGAAGACCGGCATATGTATGTTTATCAAGTGAGTACCTAAATATTTAATCTATTTAAATCTTCACAGATACGGAAGGCAGTGGCTTGGCTCTGCCCCTGGAATTGCTGATGTCCATGGGCGACGGTAACCACACACCATCAGGTGGGCCGTATTCTCGTCTGCCAACAAGAGTAATATTTTTTTTTTAAAAAGATACATATATTGGACGCTCAATCTATTTTCTGTTTTATACATTTTTCTAGATTCGTAAATAAGCTTTTATTCAATGTCACCTCTGATAGCTTATTGATACCCGTTCCAAATATATTGAAAAGCACGAAACTAGAATTGAGATTAGGCACGTGCCGACTCAATCATTTTCATCAGGTTATTTGCGCTTTATACCATTACTAGTTTAATCTTCTTTTTTATAACAGTTATCAGGCACAAAGACATGGCAATGTTGTCAATGCCTTACCAAGTTTGTGATATGAGGTTGTAGTCTCAATTGCAGTAGGTATTTTGTTACGTGCTGGGGTTCGGGACAAATAAAAATTCAACCAAAGTACAAATTTAAGCTGTATTAACACTTAGAACACTTAAAGAACACTTTGAAATTCTCAATAAGCAATTTTTTTTTATTGCTTAGATGGGTGAGCGAACTCATAGCTCACCTGGTGTTAAGGGTTACTGGAGCCTATAGACATCTACGACGTAAATGCGCCACCCACCTTGAGATATAAGTTAAGGTCTCAGTATGGTTACAACGGCTGCCCTACCTTTCAAACCGAAACGCATTACTACTTCACGGCAGAAATACGCAGGGTGGTGGTACCTACCCGTGCGGACTCACAAAAAGTCCTACCACCAGTACTTACGCCAATTATAATTTTTGTGGGTTTGATTTTTATTACACGATGTTATTCCTGCGCCGTGGAAGTCAATCATGAACATTTGTTGAGTACGTATTTCATTAGAAAAATTGGTACCCGCCTAGGATTCGAACACCGGTGCAACACGAATGAACCGGACGTCTTATCCTTTAGGCCACGACGACTTAAACGGCTTCCGCTTCGCTTCAGGCGCTCCGTTCGCTGTTTCATTTCGAGTAAATCCGATTACTAACTGCCATCTCTGCATCTCTGCAACGTTTTTATAGTCGATACGACATCCTTACAAACTTCGAGAACATTCTTGACAAGTCGAGAAGTTTCGATGTGTTTCCGCTATTTGATAACAGATGGCGTTGTACTTCTCAAGCGTTCTCGGTTTTACTAGTCCTTTTGACATTCGTTTCTGCTATTCGACTATAGATGGCGTTACTATTACCAGCGTAATAATACGACACACCACCACCCAATGCCGGTTGGCTATCGCATTATATCTCTTTGAATGGTCACACCACGACCCATCTGATATTAAAGACTGTAGCCGCCCGTCAGAAATGGGATCAGATGACTGTATCGTAGCAGATATAGTCAGCATGGAAATTGTAAGTGACGATCGCGATATGCTGATATAAAACTTAGAGAGCGTCGTAGTCCAGTAAACCATGATTTATGCGAGTGTGGTGTTCGCTCACGCGGCCCGCACACACATAGACACCCTCCAATCCCTACAATCCCGCTTTTGCAGGTTAGCCATTGGGGCTCCGCGTTTCGTGAGGAACGTCGACTTACACGACGTATCAGTCCAGAAATACATGAAGTCAGCGTTGGAACGCTACTTCGATAAGGCTATACGTCATGATAATCGCCTTATCGTTGCCGCCGCTGACTACTCCACGACTCCTGATCATGTAGGAGCCAGTCAACGTCGACACTCTAGACACGTCCTTACGGATCCATCAGATCCAATAACCTTTGCATTAGACATCTTCAGCGCTAACACTAAAAGTAGGCTTAGGAACCCCGGTAACCGTACTCGTCGAACTCGACAAAGAGGTCGACGTGCAACCTAACCCATGCATGCATCAGCCCGCTGAGTTTCTTGCCGGATCTACTCAGTGGGTCGCGATTCCGATCCGGTAGTAGATTCATTCGCGAAGCAATTGCTCTTGAGTTGTTAGGTCTCCTTCGGAGGCGCTCGGGCAGTTGTTAGTTAATCCCACCCCTCCTGGCTGAGCCTTTACAACAATACGAAAAACTCTTTCTTTCTTCGCAAATCTTACTACCCCTCCTCCTCGCGTCGTTTCCTCACTGCTGAGGGTCGTGACCATTATAATTCGACATGATTTTATTCCTTGTGATGTCCCGCCAGCGCCTCCGATCATTGGCTGCATGAAGGGCGTCGTGGAATGGGATCTCCTCTAGTGTGGTGCGGATTTGGTCGAACCACCTTGTCGGACTGCGCCCGCGCGGTCTTTTTCCCTCGATCTTCCCTGTCACGAATAGTCTTTCTAAGCTATCCGGTGTTTTCCAAGCAATATGACCGAAGTACTCGCGTGCGCGGCGAAGGCAGAGTGTGGACAATCTAGTCTTGATCTGCAGTTGATCTAAGATAGACAGATTGCTTCTCTTCGCTGTCCAAGGTATCCGGAGCATTCTTCTCCAGCACCACATCTCAAAAGCATCCACGCGTTTGCGATCAGCCGCTTTATTACCCCAAAAACAAATATATCTGAGTAGCTTAAATGCAATATCATGGCTCTATGCGGAACCACGAACGACACCCATTTACTGGAGGACGATTCCAATTTGCTTAATAAAACAAAATGTAGACACCGCTACGATCCAGCTCGTGGCTTGTGGCTCGCCGCAAATTCAATTTACATTAAAACCGAAGATCCATGTCGTGGTCACATTTCAAGGGAAACGAACCGACGGCTCAGGGGAAATATAGTCCACTTAGGCTCGATCGAAACTAGACTTATTGGAACGTTTCTTTGAACTGAACACTTTATAAACTTGTTAAAAGTCACGATTATTAAAATGAACTATTTCCGTACAAGATTGAAGTCGTCGTGGTCTAAAGGATAAGACGTCCGGTGCATTCGTATGAAGCGATGCACCGGTGTTCGAATCCCGCAGGCAGGTACCAATTTTTCTAATGAAATACGTACTCAACAAATGTTCACGATTGACTTCCACGGTGAAGGAATAACATCGTGTAATAAAAATCAAACCCGCAAAATTATAATTTGCGTAATGACTGGTGGTAGGACCTCTTGGGAGTCCGCACGGGTAGGTACCACCACCCCGCCTATTTCCGCCGTGAAGCAGTAATGTGTTTCGGTTCGAAGGATGGGGCAGCCGTTGTAACTATACTTGAGACCTTAGAACTTATATCTCAAGGTGGGTGGCGCATTTACGTAGTGGATGTCTATGGGCTCCAGTAACCACTTAACACCAGGTGGGCTGTGAGCTAGTCCACCCATCTAAGCAATAAAAAAATTAATAAAAAAAATCACTCTCAAGTGAGTAAGTATTTTCGTTTGCTCATTTGCTACGTTTGCTCGTCGACCTACGATGGCGATGAATGAAATGATCTGCTTTTATGTCACATTTGACGTTAAAGTCTGATTTTGATGTTCCAAAATGATTTGAGCATATCTTTTCAATTTAAAAAATATACCATTATATAAGTATACCATTAAAAATGTCCCTCATCATATTTCCGTGTAGCGCACAATGAGATAGCTCAAAGAAAATAGGTATATTTGAATGCAACAATTTCCTTACAAAATTATAATGTAACGCGAAATAAATTGTTCACATCAACGGGACATTGTTGTCCGCCTTCCGGCCCTTCGACCCTCGTCGTTCGTAACAATGAAGCGCACTTCTCGCCCGAAGCTTAGATAAATTGTTTCCGTTCGGAGATGTAACAATTATTATGATAATTTCGACCAAGTTGTGGGTAATTAGCTTTATTTGACGTGACAACGTCTTATAATTAGATGGAGCCGGCTGCACGCACAAAAAAACATGACTCATGCGGCGTTACCTCGCTCTGAGGCGTTCCATTTACGGCTTGAAGTGCAAGCGAGAGCGCGCAACGAGCGACAAAGAGGCACAATCGGCCTCCGGGTCCGGCAGCGTTCGACATCTGTCTCTCTCCTACTTGAGTGAGCGATGCATCCGCGTGAACAGCTGCTATACAATAATACATTTACATGTTTTCGTCAAGTATGAAGTCCAAGAAGTGAAGTGAAGATCCATCAGTATTTTCTTATGACGTTGTCACGTTCAACTATTGTCACTAAACACACTTTACAGACAACCAATTTTATTTTATTGCTTAGTTGGATGGACGAGCTCACAGCCCACCTGGTGTTAAGTGGTTACTAGAGCCCATAGACATCTACAAGAAGAGGTCCTACCGCCAGTAAATATTATAAGACACTGCTTGTTTTGTTTGATGATCTTCTGCCTCTGATATCTGGATGAAAAACAAAATTCTAGGTTTGTTGGTCGCTTTTTCCCTACCTATTAGCTGGTAGTCTAAAGGTCCCCGTCGCTTGCGACGAAGGGCTCGGCGAGTAAATTAACCCATAGACAACAGCCCACTGAGCTTCTCGCCGGATCTTCTCAGTGGGTCACCATTCCGATCCGGTGTTAGATTCTGCGAAGCGTTGCTCTGGCAAGGGCTAATTTTATCAAATATTCTAAATCCTATCAGGTTGAGCGCGTGAGCTCACCTATCCGTCCAGGCGTAACTGGAATAGACCTTTAGTTTTTTTTCCTACCTTATCTGATAGGATCATGGATGTATGTGTGGAGCGGTGCGTCGCCAGCGGCAGCTTCTTAGTACCACGCACGCGCGTACGCAGCACACCACTTACTCTCCGACGCATCGTGCTGTCTCGCTACTCAATGTCTTGCTAGCCTATGCTCCGGAAATGGATATATTCCATGATGGTTTGCAGCGATTTATAGCTGTTGTTAGAAATTACTTAAGTTAATTAAATTATTAACACGTTGACTGCGTTATGCGGTTTAAAACGACCCATGCGCGACTGTCCTCTGATACCCTCGTTTGCTCAAAACGGGAGGCGACTATGTCCGGATTTCTATGGGCATGAGTCATTTTCAAAAACGGTCCTTTAT